TTTTTCCTACCCTCTATTTTTCTACACCATTTCTTTGTGTTACTTGTATGCATCACTATTATCCATTCCCCTTGTTAAGACATAAACTCCATGAGGGTGGTTTTTCTTTTTTTTTTTTTTTTTCACTTTTCCACCACACCATCCAAAACAGCAAGTTGTCCTGAAGTTATGTTTGCTTGGGGAGCATATTGCTTAATATGTTTGCAGAGGCTTACCCTTCTAATTGTGCTTTATCTAAGCTAACAGTAAATTGCAAGTTGTTCTGTACGCACAAGCTCTTCTCACAGGGCAATGACATCTCGTCTGTTTAGTTATCAATAGGCGCTCAGTGAGAACATAGTAGGTGTGTGAAAAATAAAACATGAGTCAAGCAAAGAATGAACGCAGGTGACAGAAAGGATAAAGCTCAGTCTGTCCTGGTGACTCACATTGTGACATCCCTGCCTGAGAGGCCCCAGGAGAGCTGGGTCCATGAGCGCGTGTTCACAGCTCACGCGCACACCTGCCCCCCCTTGCTCCTATGTCAACGTGATTGGCCACGTAAGTAAAAGTAACACCTGCCAACATGTAATTGCAATGTCATATTAATTATATGGAAACCCAAACAAAATTACCAGCTCCCATTTCTTCTTGGAATACTAATAACACGAATCCCAGTGTCATGATGGAAGATGATCTTGGAAGCCATCTCTCTCCTGTTCTGCAACCTACACGTGCTGCCGTTTCTTGCTTTTGCAACTTCCAAGCAGATCATAATGGGGAAGAAATATCGTAGAGGAAGGATCTAGGCTTCCTTTTCAGAGTGAATCAGACACCAAAAATCCTCTTTAGGAAAGAGCGGAAGTTTAAAATCTTCATAGAAGGGGCCATTTTTGTTCCCTCTTCCAAAAGCCTGGGGGAAAACCTCGCGGGTGGGTGAGCGGGGAGCTGCTGGGCGGTATGGGATCCTCAGGCCGCGAGTTCTCTGCTCAGCATGGGAGGTTGCAGGATGGGACTGTATCTGGAAGGTGGGGGCTCCCAGTCTTGGCATCTTTCCCTCACTCTCCTGGTGCAGCACCCTCCTTCCCCAAGCCTGGCCTGTCTGGGTGTGTGACTGAGGTGTCTATCACACGAGCCCTCACCTGGCCAGTCACAGGCTCCCACTCCCACGTCCATGACTGGCCCAGGGATGTGAGCTCCTGGTGTTGGGTCAGCTGTGGTTCTTCTATGGGGAGACCAGGGGAAGGGTAGTCCTGGTCCATCCATCGGTCACCTACATTGCCCCAGGGTACAAGGAGGAACAGCTGACTCTGTCTCCTGCTGAGGACATCTCTGAGTGGAGGACGGTGGTGTGGGCCTTGGGCGTGGTTCTATGATGATGGCTCTGCTGGGATTTTTGTTCTCTGCTCAGCTCCAGGGATATGCAGAGCCTCGGACCCTCACACCCCTCTGCTGGCCAGACTCCCAGGAGCTCCCTGGTCCTTGGAAAGATCAGGCCATTTGGTTCAATCCGCGACACCCGACGTTGCCGTGTCACTCTGCGGAATCTCCCCATTTCCCTGCTGTCTGGGGAGCAGTCCTTGCGAACCCCACCGATGCCTGGTGCTGGTTAGGGTTCTGTTTTAAAGTTCGTTCTGTTTCCTTCTGTTTCAGGAAGGGCGGTGGCCCTTCACACCTCTGTGTGGGTTTCTGCTCCTGGCCTCGCTCCATCAGCAGCCCGCTCGGCCACCCAGGCTGCCTGGTCCCAGGAACGCAGGGAAGGCCCCTCCAAAGGTCAGCATGACCCAGCGACCCTGTTTGTTGCTGAATCCCGCTAACCGTCCGGGCTGAGGTGCTCTTCTTTGGATTGGAGCAACTGCTTCCCACTGTCTCTCCCCCGTCCTCTCCTCCAGGCCTGGGAGACAATTCTAATGCCACACCCCCCTGCACATCCCTCTGCTAACTGAGCCTCCCCCTGCTGTCCCCAGGAGAAGTGCCAACCTGGTGCGACATTCCTGTCCTCTGCTGTCCCTGGCTGCTGGGCTCTTTCTCCGCACCTCACGGTAACACGTCTCCCTTCCCTCCAGGCTCTCTGTGGGACTGGGAGTTTTCTGAAATGCCATTCCTGTCTTGGTCCCTTTTCATAGGTGCTGCCCTATCCCATCACCTCTTTCCTGTGTCTGAGCCTGGCCAGTTCTCGCTGCTCTTCAGAACCGATTCTAGCTCTTCTGGTCCCTTGTCCACCCTGAGACCCAAGTGGGGTGGTAGAGTCTGCAGTGGATTCACCAATCTTCTTTCACCTCCTCCCTCTCAGGCACTTGGAAAAGACATTGACTGAGTGTCCTCAGAGTTATGCGGAGAGTGCTCAACTCTTCTTGCTGGGGTGGGCACGGTGATGTGTGTCATGCTAGGCCTGCTCATGAGGTCCCCTTAAAGTATGTAAGCTCTCTTCCCCTCCTATAGCTGTTTTGGAGGTCAAGTGGCAGGGTCACAAGATTGAGCACTCGGACGGAGTAAGCCACGGTGAAGAACAGTGGCTTGACTCTTGGGCTGTGATGTGTCCAGCTCCTGAGACTGCTGGGTCCATTTGTTACCTGGCATAGCCTTGCCTCTCCTGACCGATACAATGAACACCCCTTTCCTGGTGGTACTGGCTACATTACGCTACTTGCCAGGCTTTTTAAACTTCCGGTGGCAAGGACCCGGCTTTCCTTATCTGTCTAGTCTCCTCATTCCATGGTGCTGGACACAGTTGGCACTTAACGAACAACTCTTGAATGAATGAAAAATGTCATGTCTGCATTTGATGGTGGAGCAGGAGTGAAAAGAACCGTCAAGACTGGAGGAAGGGAGGGAAGAGCCCACGCTGGCCTTGACCGAGACAGCCGCTTGCCTTATGGGGCTGACAGATACCTGCAGACTCCCTCTCAGGAACTCATGAAGCATCGGAGGAAAAGGCCACTCCCAAGCTCCCTGAGTCTACGGCACATGTCACACTTCCCTCAGACCATCTTCCAACTGCTCCCCTGCAGTTTCCAGGAGTTGCTTTTATTTCATTCACTAAAACAGTTTATGAACTGAATTAAAATAAATGAGATGCAAATAAATTCCAGGCTTTCTCCCTCATTTTCAAATTACATTTCCAGTCCACTCAACCTGTTATAATCTCATAGTGATTTTCATTTAAGAGAGCTAAATGGATATGTGATTATTGTTACAGGAACTAACACCAGACAATTAAATGTTGAGGTGTTGATAGATAAAGCTGTGTTTTGATTTGCATAAACACGATGCCAGCGACTCTAACCCTGGCAGAAATTCAGTTATAAGGCTTGCGTGTCTAACTTCTGCTAATTACCACAAGTACCATTATTAAGATTTTTTTTTTTTTAATATTTAGAGTTGGGATTATAGCCATTTTATTTGAGGGCCACATTTATCTTTATTTTGAAAACTTAGTCAGAATGCATAACTGATTTATCAGAGAAAAGGCACGATGACTACTTATAATCAATTTCTACAGTGCAGCATATCAAAAATCAATTACACAGCCCTGAAATCCAGTCATTAAGGATTTAGCTACTAATCGCATTCCATTTTTGTCTTTAGGAAGATACTGCGGCTTGCAACTTTGCAGATACCAGCAGAAGAAGAAAAACATGGGAGACTGCTGATAACCTAATGTGGAGAATTAAACTCCAGTCAGACAAAGGTAGAATGTTAATTCGGAGTGGCCTGGCTCTGCAGGCAGGTCACCTGGGCTGGCTTGGATTTCAATCCAGTAACACAAAAAAGTTACACCCAAGTCTTGCCCACGCTGAGTCTTTCATGTGATTCTAAAGCCAGTGCTAAACTACAACTTGTTCATTGTCTGTTTTTCGCTTGCTTTGATCTGTGATTATTTTAGTTGTTTTTAGTTTGCTTATTAACTGTCCTCTCTTCCATCTCTTCCCAGCCCTGAAGGAGAGCTGTAGGAGGGTAGGGGCTTTGCTTTATGTTTCATGTATCTTCAGGGCACAGCATAGTGCTTGGATCATAGTAGGTGCTTAGAAAACATGTGTGTTGCATTTTATGATGACTGGGACCACAGGGTTCTTCCCCCAACCCTGGGTAAAGTGTTAGTATAATGGTAGGAGTAGCTTCCTCTGGTTGACAGATGACTGACCAGAGCAGGGTCCACTAGTGCTAGATAATCTGTCTGATTGTGAATCTGAGCAGGAAGCTGTGGGGTACAGTGGCTGAGAGTCCTGGCAAGTGAGCCAGACAGAAGGACAGAACTGGGGCCAAGTCCAGGCTTGACCATTTCCTACCCATCACATCATTGGTTTACCTTCCCTGAACTTGTGTGTTCTTCTGGGAAACAGAGGCAATCATGACTACCTCATGAGGCGGGCGGTTGAAAAGGTTAAAATCAGATACGACAAGTGAAGCATTTAACTTAGAGCCTGCATCACTGAAGTCCTCAGTACATGCTACGTATTAGTTTTTTTAAAAGCTGTAACTTGGGGCTAGTTGCCTGGTGTGGGGATGCCAGGGTTGGTTGCAACTTCCTGCTTCGGCCCTGTCATTTGTTCCCCTTGGAATGTTGTCCCTGACCCCCTCGTGCAGGGTGATGTCTCATCCCTTGGGATCCCATCAGACTCTTGGGTGACTCTGTCTTTCGGTAGCCTGTGGTCCTCTTATGTCTGTGCGTTCTACCACTGGCAGCTCCTTCAAGTGCAAACTTTCCAAGTCATTCTCCCAGGATTTAGCAAACGCCCAGCACACAGTAGGCATTGCTTCCTTTGACCATCTGGCCAGACAGTGTAAACTTGGGGATGGGATGTCAAGTGGGAAGGGCAGACCCCAGATCTCTCCAGCTAGAGCACAATGTGAATCCCACAGCAGGGAACGACTGCCCTCGCCCACCCTAGGAAATGGCCTAAAGATCTGGGGCTTCTACCGTCAGAGGGAGGAACTTGCCTTTTCCAGGGAAGAGAGGAGAAAGGCAGGCATAGAAGCCAGGCAACCCTCAGCTCTGGGATGAAGGTGCAACCACTTACCCGGAGCTTCCGGCCAAAGATGGTGACTTTGCCTTTAATCTGTTCCTTTCGCAGGCGCCACTCAATGGAATTGAGGCCGTTTTCCATGGGCAGGGAGATGTTGCAGCGCCCAATGGTGGGGGTGATGGTGCCCGCTAGGACGTGGGGCTCGCTGTGGAAGCTGACGCCCATGCCGTTGGCGTACATCACCCTCAGGGTGCCATTGTTACAGAGCTGGTAGCTGTTCCGCACTTGATCTGGAAAAACGCAAGTGGGGATGGGCACAGGGAAATAAATTATCCACTCTATCAGTCAGAAGAGAATAGACCCTATTTTTGCAGGTTTCCATGGTACTTTACAGCTGTCAGTCTAGGGCTGCCTTCAATTAGCGCACACACAATGCGAAGGTGAGTGGCAGAGATGGTGCATGGGAAGAAAAACATTATTAATATGTGGCTCTCCAGAAATAATTATGCCGTGATATTTTTCTTTTACTCACTGAAGACTATTAATAGTACATTTAAACATTTAAAGATGTCTATTGCCTACACAATTTGTGTCAATCAAATCCCTGAACTTTAACATATATATTTTAGCTTATATAAAAAAATAGAGGAAAGGAAAGTGACTTCAACTCTCCCCACGCCTTTTCTTTGCCTCCATCTAACCCAGGGTGGAGGGTGTCAGCCACAGGTCAGATCCAATGCAAGCACAGCCAGGGCTCTTCAACAAAACCGAGAGAAAAAGCCACCTTCCTTCTTGAGCGACTGCTCTTGACCTGTCACATGCCACCTCCACTTCCACCTGCACTCAGGAGGCTCCAAGGGCACGAGGAGACGGAGCCAGGCGGTGCCCACCCTGCGTGTTGATCTTCCCAAATGGAATCCACACTAGTCAATCAGACTTCTGACCTTTTCCTTTATCGAAAAGTTACAGGAAGGAAACGCGAGTCAGAGACTCCTTGAACAGATATGCCGCTTCCTGATTGTCTGGGCAAAGGAGCCGGGCTGGGCTGGCCTCCGAGATGCCAGCTTTTGGGGCAGTGGGCAAGGGTGCACCTGTCACTCAGCAACTGCAGCCATCATACAGAAGGACAGAATCTACATCATTAATCATTTGGCAGAGCAGAAACAGAGTCATTGAAACAGGCTCTGTTGCTGGATAATAGTCCAGAAATGTCACCATTTATCTACCAAGAGGACACTTTTATCCTCTGACAACTGGCTGGCCCACTGACATTATATCTTAATTAAAGGAAAAATTAATCTGCACAATTCCTTTTCTTGCCAGCCCCTGTGCTTGTCCTGGACCGAGTGGGCATGTCTAACAGCAACAATAACCATGGGGTGGCCAGGGACCTTTGAGATCCTGGTTCCGGCAAGAGATTGCTACAGACCTCTGACCCCAGGGCAACCAACTCAACAAAGATGATGTACTAAAGAGAGAATCAGACTGGGAACAACAAAAAAATAACACGCAGTAGTAGGCCCTGGAGAATAAACAGTCCCGAGAAGATGACAACGGCTACAGAGGGGTAAGAATGAGAAGAGGCCGGGCAAGGGGCGCACACCTGTAATCCCAGAGATTTGGGAGGCTGAGGCAGGAGGATTGCAAGCTCGAGGCCAACCTCAGCCACTCAGTGAAAACCTGTCTCAGAATAAAAAATAAAAAGTGCTGGAAGCTGGGCAAGATGGTGCAGGCCTGTAATCAGCAGCAGCTCAGGAGGCTGAGGCAGGAGGATCATGAGTTCAAAGCCAGCCTCAGCAAAAGTGAGGCGCTAAGCAACTCAATGAGACCCTGTCTCTAAATAAAATGCAAAATAGGGTTGGGGATGTGCCTCAGTGGTAGAGTGGCCCTGAGTTAAATCCCCAGTACCAAAAAAAAAAAAAAAAAAAAAAAAAAAAGGACATTTTTAGTAAGTTGATATTTGGTTGTGTATGGATGACATTTTTCTCCCAGGAATTTTTCTTTTTTTTAAACAAGACCTATCTCTGCTAGAGTGGGTTTGCTGTGGATGTTTGCATAAGACAGAAGCTGAGGGGCGCTGGAGGTGTGTGCAAGTCCCTGGCCAGGGGGGGTCTCCCCCGAGGGCGTGGCTGGTTGGGGCAAAGGGGTGGGCGGGGCGTACCCTGTACCACTGTGTAGGAGGCCTCCACCGAGGAGAGGTTGGTAATCACAGTGACATCGTCGTCACGGTTGGAGTTCTCGATGTCGATGGTGATGGATTTCTCCATTTCGCGGTGCAGACTGGTCACCACCCCGGTGGGGCGCGTCACGTTGGTCAGACGGCCCTCGTGGTCATAGCTAGAAGAGAAGAACACTGGTTGGAAGGGCAGTCAATGGAACCAAGGATTCTCCTAGTGTTCAGAACCATACAAGGGCCAGGTGATGGGGCCAGAGAAAGATGGCAGGAGTGGGGTGGCCCGTGCATCCCACGGAGGCTCCGGGTTACAACCCAAACCTCCACCTGCCCTGAGCAAGCCGTGTGTTCTCCCAGCCACTGACCTAACTGGCCCCAGCTCAGGGAGAACCCTCCGCCTGGTCTCAGGCAGGAGGAACTTAACTGTGCTCCCGCATGTTAGTGCCAACAGTGTCTCGTAAACGTCGCTGGCTCTTTAATTTATGTGTTCCACAAAGCCACCAAATTAATCTTTCCAAAATATCAGTCTCATCCTGTCACTTCTCTGCTGAGCAAGCCACACTCTTTTCCCACAGTTGCTCCATCAAATCCAGATCTGGCATTTGAGACCATCCAAGCCCCCGAGTCCTCAACAGGGATGCAAGCTTGTCCTACTTGTCACCTCAAAGACCTCCCCGAAGGCAGCCTGGGCCAAATGTCACCTCCATGTCTTGGTGGGCCTTCACCCATGCCAGGAAAGGGAGCCACACTCTCCCCAGGACCTGCCTGCGAGGCCCTGGGGCTGAGGAGGGCTGGGGGTGGGGCGGGACCATGAAATCCTCACGTTTGGAGGGCAAAAGAGAAGGACCAGCCGCTGGACCCTGGTGCGCCTCCCTCTGGATTGGGACAAAATGGGCAGGTTCTAAGTGATGGATACTGGAGCTCCTAAGGCACACAGGGGCGGGAGTGCCTCATAAGAGGCTCCCGGTGGGGAAGATGTGACCCAGTTGAGTTGACCACTGAGCGCTCAGGACACCAGAGGGACTTGGGAACTGTTTCTGGACTCCAGGAATGCAGACCTGGCTGAGACTTGCAGTGGTCTGAGAAATTTTGCTTTTTCTTGGGAGAACCGGAAAGTCAAACTCTGAGGATATTTGAAGCTGAGAGCAGGACCACACTGAGCTGGATGGCCAGCTGGGTAAAGTGGTGAAGGTGACAGCAGGGACTCTGAATGGGAAGCCCAGGGATCTTGGGAGCCCAGCCTCTCATCTCTAATCCCATCACTTATCCAAGGCAGATGACACGTGCTCTGGAAAGGCCTGGTGCTGTAACCAAGAATGGGGACTCAGGCCTTCTCATTGAAGGGGCTTCCTGGTGCTGTCTTACCTGCTCCAGAAACTGACTCTCACACAGGGGTACAGAGATGCTATTTATGGGCTGGGGCTGTAACTTAGTGTTAGAGCATTTGTGTAGCATGTGCAAGCCCTGGGTCCAATCCCCCAGTACCTCCCCCCTGCCAAAAAAGAGATGCTATGTACAGTAGTGACATTTTAGAACAACATAAACCTAGGAAGTCATCAACATTGATGACATGGATTTCTATTTATTGGCATGGACAAAAAGTAAATTGTTTTTATTTCTTTTTGTAGTAGTGCATTTTAATTATATATAGTTGTGGGATTGTTGTTACTTATTTGTATGTGCACATAATAGTACAAAATAATTTGGCCAGTTACAGAGGTCTATATTGTTGGGTAGAAAGAGCAGGGTACAAAAGGTCATCCCTTAATAATATGTAAGTATTTATTATAGAAGAAATTCTCCTGAAAATATGGATATCTAAACATGAACGGTGATTTTTTTTGTGTGGGATTTGGATGACTCTTTGTTTTCTTCACGTGTTCGTATATTTTAGGAACTATTTGTAATCAATATGACTGAGTTTAATGCTTTATAAGCAGAAAAAGCTTTTTTTTTTTTTTAAAAAGAGAGGAGAGAGAGAGAGAGAGAGAGAGAGAGAGAGAGAGAATTTTTTAATATTTATTTTTTAGTTTTCAGTGGATACAACATCTTTATTTTTATGTGGTGCTGAGGATTGAACCCAGCGCCCCGTGCATGCCAGGGGAGCGCGTTACCGCTTGAGCCACATCCCCAGCCCTAAGCAGAAAAAAACTTTTGCAAATAAAGCACAAACAATTCTAAGTGTCTGGATTTGAGGTGTGTCACACAGCAAAGCTCATTAGTAATGGAGAGCAGAGGCGCATCACCTCTGGCAAGTCATAGGACAGTGAGGAGGTCATCATCCGGGACCTAGGCCAGGGCTTTCATTCCACCCCCCTGTAGTTCTGGGACACACACAATGTACTGCCCGTTGCACTTCCATAGAGGAGACCAGGACAGCAAGAGTTTCTACTTTGGGGAAGCAGAGCACTGAGTAGGAACCTGAATCTTGGGGCAGACAAAGCACGTTTTTCATTAAGTTGCAACAGGGCTCAGCTCCCTGCAGCTCTGCTCACTCCCTCTGTGGAGTGTCTACAGATTCAGGTCTCTGTGCAAATTCACTCTGCACCCAGAAGTGAGGATCTCTGAGTTTGAGCAATTGGATCTCAATGGTACCCAGAGAGAACCAGCTAGGCCTTGGCCAGTGTGGGGCTAGACATGGCCTTGGACTCATTTAGTCAAAAGATATTCATGAATACCTATTCTGGGCAATGCGTTTTAAAAAACACTAAGGATATGACTAGGAATAAAACAAAGTCCACACACTCATGCTAGAGGAGAATGCAAAACAAAGCAAGGCTTCTCTTCCCCAGTCTGGGAATTGAGCAGGCATGGCAGGATGCCCAAAGGGTAGCTCTTGTCTCCTCCATTCCTACTTGGCTCTCCAAAAGCCACTTCCAAGCCCAAAGAGGAGTAGAGAGCAAGGTAACTGCCAAAGGGGTATGTTGTAGCTGTGTGTGTTGCAAAACCAGCTCATTCTATAAAATAACCCCTGAACCCCACTCCATGGGAAGTCCACTTCCACCCTTCCCCGTGACACCTGCTCCTTCCCCCACTGCTTCACTGGGAGAAGGAGCTGAACCTGATGGACTGGAGAGCTCTTTCCTGTCTCTCTTTTCTGGAGGGCCTGTCCTTAAGGGAGATCTGTTCTCCGCCCCTCTGGGCCCTCATTTTGCTAAGGCAGAGTCTGCTCCTGCAGGGAAGGGAGGCCCAGCAGTACTGAGGGCCAGGGAGCGAGAGGATTCATTCAAAGTGGGGAATTAAGAAGACCTAGTGTACAGGCTGCTTTCTTCAGTTCTGCTTTTCCAAAGTAGGTCTCTGTTTGTCTGGCTCCTGTATCCACTATGTAGGTGGCTGTTGGGAACCTGAGGGATGGGATGGAGATGGCAGAGTACTTAATGATGTCCCTCAAATCCCAACAGCACCTATTCTCTGTTGAACTTGGGTTTGCCAAGTGCGATGTGTATTATCCCAGTGGATTATCATGGCATCCATGTGTTGCTGGCATTATTATCCCCATTGGCAGAGGTGGACACGGACATTCAGAGAGGTTGGGTCACTTGGCGAAGGCCAATCAGAGAATATTTGGCAGAAGTGGAACCTATACCATTGTCTTCCTGGTGTCAAGGTCCAAGGGCTTTTGCAGAAGATTGTGAAAACCTGTATTCTCTCAGGAATATCCTGTAACCCGGCTACTTCTTCTATCAGGACCTAATGTCTTGCATCTGGAGAAATCTGAATTCCAAGGTTGGAGTTCCCTGGAACTTTCTGGGACTGGCTGATCATAAAATGAGGCCAGAATGATTCATTAATGTTATTTCCCCTGACTCCCCCCACCCTGCTCTGAGTCCTTAATGGGATGGCCTTATTGGGAACATCTTTCCCTAAATCCTAGAACAATTTTCATCTGGAGTTGGAAGGTGGAACTCCAAATTCTACTCAGAGCCTTGTTGTAGAACAGTGGTGGGTCATGGAAAGAGTCCTGGACATAGAGATCCGCTGACCTCTCGTGTGGCCTTGGGAGAGTCGAGTCACTTCTCTGAGACTCAGTTTCCTTATATTTAAAATGGGGAGAATCAAACTTATCCGCTGAGGGTCACTGTAACAGCTGAGCTGATAAACAGCTTCTCTGCCCATCAAGTTCTATGCAGAGAGAATATTCTGCTGCTCTAGCCCCCTATGGAAAGGTTTGTACCCTGCCTCATGGAACACAGTGGAAGAGAGGAATCCACCTGCTGAAGTCCTCACAGAAGGACAGACTGTTTTCTGGCAGCCCTATAGCCTGTGTGGTTTTCTCTCCTCTGCTCACCCCTCTCTGAAGTTTTGGTTAAGGTGATGCAATGCTGGTCCCCATCTCCCACCTCCATGAGGAAGTGGAGTTTGATGTATGATTTTCAAACTGCCAATTTGCTGGCCATGTATCAAAAGTGCTATAAACCCCAAAAGAACTCGCTTTTTTTTTTTTTTAGAATGGCTAAGAGATATTTGAAACTCCATATTTGAAACTCCACAATGCAGAATCTGGGATCACTAGATTTACCCACATTATGAGGAACAAAACAAAACAAAACCCCAGCTTATCAAATTAAGGAGGAGAGGAAAAAATTATTCATGAAAAAATATTTAAAAAAGATTTATGGCTGGGTGTGGTGGTGCATGCCTGTAATCCCTGCAGTTTGGGAAGCTGAGGCAGGAGGATCACAATTTGGAAGCCAGCCTCAGTAATTTAGCAAGATCCTAAGCAACTTGGTAAGACCCTGTCTCAAAATAAAAAGTAAATAAAAATAGCCGAGGATGTGGTTCAGTGTTGAAGTGCCTCTGGGTTCAATCCCCATTACAAAAAAAATAGGAATCATGTCTACATGTTTTCACTGAGCTAGAGACTCTTGCTGTAAAATACCTTCCCTCTAAGAGCCCACTTGTGTGGACCCACTAAAACCAGAGACAAGGCTTTACTACAGTCCCGGAGTCAGGCCTAATTGGGTTTGGCCTCCCTGAGAGGGGCATTTCTTTCTCATTCGGGAGCCCCAACTAATGATTTCTAAATGCAACAGGTCTTTCTGCAAAACTACCACAAAGGAAGGCACAAATCCAAGAGGTGTATGGGTTTAAGCCTAGCTTTAACCTACTTGGGGTGATTGCTAAAGGTGGCACTCAGATGGAATGTCAGAGGGGGAAGTGTTCTGGGGAAGTGTGATCAAGTCCGGTGCCTGGAAGAATATGAGGAGGCTTCGGAAGCCTGAGAAAGGTTGCTTTGCCCCAAGAAGCAGCTTGACCCAGGGAAAGCAATTCTGCAATGCATTAAATTTCCAGCAGGTGGCAACAGCTTCCTTTTACATTTTCCTAAGCCCTTTGGCACACAAACAGGAAGTGAACATTCCTAGATTTAGGTGTGATTGACAATGAGGTCTTCTTTCCTCTCTCTTGCCCCATTCCCCTCTGTAATACCCCTGCTCCAACTTACTAAATTCTCAGCTAGCAGCAACATCTGGAACAAGCAAGCACTCTGAATACATAAGGTTAGCATGCTTCTTTCTCAAGGACATCAGATACTTGCAAATTCCATTCCAGCCACAGTCAGTGACTGGGGATTCTCAGCAGCTTCCGCCAGCGCTCCATTGGTTAATACCTGCGGGAGCTTGACCGAGAGCTGCTGCAGGAGCTAGGGAAAACAGCTTTTTGGCAAAACAAACGGCAGGACTATTAAGTATGAGATAATTGTTAGGGGAAATATGACCGGCTCTCGCATCTTTTAATATACCTAGCACTTTATCTGTATTGATCTGCTCCTGCTAAAGAGGAAATTCAGAGTTTATCTACCTGTCTGTGCAATCAAGTGTGTTGCTGGACCTATTGGCAAATTACAGGAGCCCCACTGGGATCTTGCCTTTTAGGTTCTAATTTCCGCACCCATAGCAAACATGAATAATCAGCAAAGTTAATCAGCACTTTATCTCCCAGGGGCTGTGCGTGTCCAATATCCTGAAATTTGAACGGCAGGCAGACAACAGGAATTCCCAAGGCTAGTAGGTAGGATGTTCAATATCAGAGACCCAATAGAGCAAATCATTTAAGAGTCAGGGAGAGGGACATGAATATCTTGAGGCCACAAGAAATCATTAAAGTCAGGAAGACAATGTGACTAAGCAATTTTAAAAGCAACATGAATGGCTGGCGCTGAGGCCAGCCTGGCCCAGGTAAGCGCTCTTTGGAGACACATCACAAACCCACTTACTCATAGAAGATCGTCCATCCCGTTTCATCACTCTTGGTGGCCAGGAGCCCAGTGTTCCCATCATAGGTCATGAGGCCAAGCTCCAGGTTTTGTGTGGACACAACTTTGAGGCCCCCGTTGGTGCCCACAGTGAGGGTGATGATCTGATTGTCTGGCATGAGCAGGTGGCGGGGCATGCCACTGCTATCCCGACGGATCTTTAGGGAATTTCCATTATTGTCAATTAACTCGGTGACGTCATTGTCAGCGCTGTATGTGAAGTTGTATAGGTACTCCCCGGTCACCAGGCTCACAGTGTACTGGTGGATCCCATCCGCATTGAAGACGTACAGCTCCTGCTCTCCAGGAGAGGCGGCCTCGTACTGGTTGAAGGCATTGAGAACGGGTTTGTTCTTGCTGACCGCCCTGATCCGAATGTTGCCCAGGTCTGCAATGTAGATGGTGCCATCTGGAGCCACAGCTAAGGACGATGGGGAATTCAGGATGGCATCAGTGGCATAGGCGTCGTCTCCAGAGTAGCAGATGCAATTGACGTCGTTTTTGCAGTCGCAGTCTGAGGCTGCCCCGGCTAAGAGGCAGATCTCCCCGTTGGTGGTTACCTGGCGCAGACGGTTAATTTTCTTCTCGTCCGTCTCAGTGATGTAGAGGACCCCTGTGTGAGAGATGGCGATGGCGCTGGCTGATTCCAGAGCAGAGTGAATGGCGAGTTTGCTGAGCGAGTAGTCGATGCCGGGAACCTGGCAGTGCATGGGGCGACCCGCGATGATGCTCACTTGGTGGTTCTCAGTGATTCGGAGGATGACGTTGTTCTCTAGAACATACAGGGAATTGTCCATGGGGTTGACCGCAAGGTCTGTTGGCCACTCCAGGCGAACCTGTGGAGGACATGGTATCGTGTTCAAGAACAGCCTGTGATGTGGCCAGCATTTGAGTGTGGGCACTTACATTGGCTTTATGCAGATTTTAACTTTTTACTAACAAACTGTCCTAGAGGTGCTCTTCATTGAACTAGCTTCCCATTGCCCATGCTGATGTGTAGCAACTGTGCAATAAACCTCCTGTCCCATCTGCCCACTGGCTTTACCTATGATGCTTCACAGCTCCAGATGATTAACCAGGGTCCAAGCTATAATATACGGTTACACAGGTAGTTCACTGCACAAGGGGTCAGCACAATCCTGAACACACTCTTCTCACTAAGCCAGTAGCCTGAGAAGGGCGTGTTTATTTGGAGGAGGCATGTGGCTTGAAAGGTGGCCCTGACCCAAGGGCTGACAAAGCGCAGGCCAGCTAGCAAGCTACAATTTTGAGTGTTTGCCTGGGGGAAAAAAAATGAACCAAAGAAACACATTCCTTCTCTGTGGAATTTGAAATAAAAATCTCAGTAGCAAGTTGTCAGTTTGTTGTAGAATTTGAGCTGAAATTTATGAGGTTGACCAAGGGTTGAAAAGACGCTTACAGGAAGGGTGAACATATATTCCAGGTTGTTTGAGAACAAATGCTATACATTTGAGGGAGCCTCTGTTCTCTGTCACGATAAGAGCCCTGACTAAAGGCACACTTTGGGGACTACTACAGAAGACTCTGCTCTGATCATACTGCACGGCGAAAAGGTTTACATGGCGAGAATGCGATCACTTCCAATTAACAGGAAGTTCTGATTGACATATAACACCACACTGTACAGTCTCAAACCTGCAATAATGATGGAGAAGACAGGTAATTACCCAGACACTCCTACCCTGTAATCTGCCACGGCTGGAGTGTGTCACCAACTCGACTCTTCTGAGCAGAATTTTCCTGTCTCACGCTTTCTCCTCTCCCAGTCTTAGCTGTTCCCCTGCATCTTGCTGTCTAGTTCCCCTCCGGGCTCCTCCAAACAAATCTGTACCAGTTTTCTGTTGCCCTCCCACTCCTCTTCCAACTCAAACAGGAATCAGGTGAGACCATTTGGTCAAGTACTAGGAGGTGCTTAGTGATGAGAAGTAAAAGAGAGTGTCCTACCTGGGCGACATCCATGCTGGAGTCACAGCTCAGTGGCCGGACAGCAGTGAGGTCATTGGAGCCCAGCAGGGTGGAGATGATTCCATTCTGGTCAACCTTTCGGATCATGGTGGCATCAACGAAGTACATGAGCCCATTCTTGTCCACTGCAATACCTTCAAAAGACAAGCGGTAGGAATGTGTCTGTTGGACAGGAGTGTGGTTTGTGGGGTGCAGGTGGGGGCTGCCCTGCTGGGCCCTCTCTGCATGGACCAGGGACCTCACTGGGATGGATCAGCCCACTCAGAGCAGTGATTCTCAGCCTTTTAAAGGCAAGACCCTTTCTCACAGGCACTGTGCTGAGATGTGCATAGTACCCACCCGGGGTGCTCGCTGTAGCCCTGCCCATTTCCCTCCAGCTGAAGACAACACCTTAGGCTGCACATGGACCAGGGCTGCAGATGTATGAATAAGGAAATGATCCTGCATCTGTTCTCTTTAGAAAAGAAGTTATTTCCAAAGTTCATTCCTCTAAAAATTATTGATAGTAAATTACTCAAATACCCTTCACAACCGATTGCAACTCTGAGGCTGAGAAACAATGATTCTTACAGTCAGAAACTTCCAATTCAAAAATGTAACCTCCAGGAAGAATTCCCAATTAAGCCGTGACTCCAATCAGCGCTCCGGCGCCCTGGGGGACACCCAACCCTAGCATTCCCCTGTCGCAGCAGGGCTGATAAGGCACAGACGGCAGCTTCTATTTCTTTTGCATTTTTATTTCAGCGCCCCAGTACAAGGCTTGGCATTCCTAATCCATGCTGCAGGCTGCTTTCACAGTAGCTAAAAACGCTAACAGGAATTAGACCCTTAGATGATTGCTCCTTAACCTAAAGCACCGTCAGTCCTTTAAAAAACAGAGCCCCATTCATTCCAAGAATTGCTCCATCCTGAACCCCTGGAAATTATGCCCATTCTTAATCGCTACCATTTTTTTGGGTATTTGCAGCTGGGCAGGCCACTGTACTTCAGACTTTATATACATTATTGTCCAAAGGAAAGTCGGGGAGTGGTTGGAGGTCCCCGCGGGGCTTTGTTCTGGCTCTGGTCCCTAAAGCTGGCACTCTGGCGCTCTGTGACTAGCCGCGATCAGAAATTTCGGGGTGCAGTCTACCCCACTTTCCATTTGCAGCCTATGTGGGTGATAAAGTTTACTCAAATAAATAAATATAAAAAAATCAAAATCGCCCACCCCTACACCAAAGCCATCTATCAGGGTTAAATTATCCCAGGGAGAGCTGTGTTTAGGCTGCTGGAAGCTGTTCAGCTCTAGTAAGGGGAACGCGAGGCGGGCAGCAGGCTCTGTCTGGGCAGAGGGCTCCCTTTACCTCGAGGGCTCATCAGGGTTGCGTCCACAGCCTTCCCTCCGTCCCCGCAGCGGGCTTCATCAAAGGGCAAACATTGTTCTCCAGTCCCTGCCACGACTTCCGAATTCCCAGCCAGGTCTTTGGCTCCGCTCAGAGACTTGACGCGGTAGATTCTGCGACTGTTGGTGTCAGAGACGTAGAGCGAGCCGGACACGGGGTCCACGGCCAAGTAGTACTTGTGTGCTGGGTTGTTGCTTTGGAAGAAGCACAAAGAAAAATGAGGAAGGGGCTATGCAGCTGGCCTCCTGGATCAAAGAGATGACAAAAACACTAGCCACACCCTCACCTTCTCTAGCATCTTTCCACTTTAGTGAACTGGAAGGAATCTAACACTGTGACTGAGTGCTGGCATTGGCATGGCTCTGAGCTCCTTCTAGTTAGACTTCACCCCTCACACTATGGTGAGCTTCCTGGATTGTCCTCGTACTTAAAGACTGCAGCTGATAGGAAAGACCCCACTCCAGGCCTGGGTTTGTGAGCAGCTAGTTATTCAAGGCAACCACCTGTGTGTCAGCCTCTCCTAGATCCCCACGCGGGCTTAGCATCGTCTCAAGTGAAACTGAGGATCAAAGCTGCCTGATGATGTCCCCTTTTTACTCTATGCTTCCTCAGTGACTTCAAGGTACTAGATCACGAATAGCAAGACATCCTAAGAGTTTTCCTAACTCTGTTAAAAGAAGCTCCCTGGAGCCATCTCCAATCTGAGGATCTCAGATCTTTTCATTATTCCTGGGTATAGGCACAAATCAAGTCAGCATTTAGTGGGAAGAGATGTGAGCCTCTTGCAATCACATCCAGAGTCTGCATTGCTGAGGGAGGAGATGCAGTTTTCCAATCGTGGGTAACATTGAGGTCACAGGTATGAACCCAGAACCACCAGGGCCCTAAGGGGCACTTGGAGATGAATAACTTTGTGTGCGTGAAGTGTATTAGGTAAGTGTAGGTTTCAGAAACCTGGACAATTTCTCTGCCATGCACCCAGCTCACCAGTACAGAGAAACACTATGTTGGCTCATAATCAAGACACAAGAAATTCAGAACTCAACTTGTACTCAGCTGGTGACCTTAGGTAAATCTTTTGGTTGCACTGGGTGCTCGCCTCCTTACGTGGAAAATGAAGAAATTAAACTGAATCGTTGCTAATGTTCCTTCTGACTCAAAACCTACCAGTTCTTCCCTTTGCAGTGTCGGTCACTTATGGAGGCTGGTATGCTATTTCTATACTGGCTATTCAAATCACATCTCCAGGAGGCAAGCAGGGATTGCTCCTCTGCCCCAGTGCGGGGGAGCAGCTTTCAGGGCCACTTGCCAATCAAGAGCATGGTCTGTTCTTCCTGGTATTAATTATACTTGGTGCAATAGGAGCAGAGGGGCTGGGCGAGGTGAAGGGAAGGTGAGGGTGATGATAGTATTGGATGCATTTGTCCTGTAGACATTAGCTGGGAAATTACCAATTAAAACACTACCATTTGGGTTCTTCCCCAAATTAAGGAAAAAAAAAACAGATCTAGGGAGCTATTTTTAGGAACAGTTTGTGAGTTGAGACCATCTTTAATTCCAGCTTCTCCTTAGGTTGCTATTAGGATACATAATTGAACTAGAAGTCAAGGTCTTTCTAAAATTCCAGCCTAGACAATAGTTGGAAAGAGTAGGCTAGGTGGGTTCCTCTCCTCTCCTCTCCTTCCCTCCTCCTAGTTCCTCCTCCTCTCTCTCTCTCTCTTTTTTTTGGTTAAGTCATTAGAGAATATCCATACATGCAAAACAAATTAGGGCAGAAAGGGAAAACTTTGTGCCGAGTTTTAATTAGATGCTGCACTCTTATGAACACACGGTAGCCGGCACCATCAACAGAAAGAGGCAGGCACTGCACATCTGTGCCTATCTACGAGCAAGACAATTAATTTTGACTTTCTAGGGAGCCAGATTTGAGGAGGCTTTTCCAGATCTCCAGCATAAGAGTGGGCAGCTGGGGGCGTGGGGTGAATGCCTGCTCAGGAAACTGTGGCTCCACATGGTCTCACATTCATTCCAACCATGGTGCTCCCAAAGAGGCTCAGGTCAGATGGGCAGTGCTGCTTCCACAATCTGTGGCTTAAGATCAGCGCAACATGCAAGGGGTGCTCTAACCAGTCAATTTGGGGCACAGAGAATAAGAAGGCAGAGGACTCCTCCTAGCCATGGCCTTTCCACTGACTGTGATGACCTCATACAATTGGACTTGCTTCTTTTTCTAATTTTCTTCCAATATCATAAAGATGCCCCTTTACATTACATGACCCGGACTGAAAAGAATAGTAGCAATATAAATTGCTCTGTTTGGTCTCCTCTTCCAAATAAAAATAAGGTCATTTTTCTTCAAGATCACTCTTGCTATATCCTTCTTGGTGCAATGCTTGCGTACATACACAGATGTGTGTGTTGTGTACTTTGTATGTGAACTCTTCCAGTATAGTTTTAAATGATGACCTTAGATCAATGGAATGACAGAGGTCATTTAGATAAAAAGTACTTGGTCTACACCCTTCATACCACTCAAAAGTGATTTAACTCCATGAAAATTCTCAATGCATCTGACTGTTGGATTCTTTCTGACCAGCAGATTGGCAATTAACTTGTGTGTGTGTGTGTGTGTTTTTAAATGACCATAAATCCAGGGGAAAAAAAAAATCATTAATGAGTTGAAAATGAGTTTTTGACCCGTTTCCAGTTCATTAAAGCTTTTGTGAACCCAGTCCAGCATTTACAAAAGCCAGAAGTTTGCCTCAACTGTTTAGCCCAATTATGGACCGTGCTGAGCAGTTGGGATAAAAGTTCACTGAGGGTTCATTATCTTGCACTTACATCTCCCGGAAATTCTAATTACTGTCAGCTTATTTGGTTGCTTTTTGACTGCATTTCATAATTGCTAAAGCTTATCATATCCACAACACACAATTAGCGCATAAAAAAGTTACTATATTTGGTACATAAAAATATACAACATTACACAAGAAGCACGAAACAAAAAATAAAAAAAAATTAAAAGCAAACACAAGGAAGCAAACGAACCATATCAAATTATATGGGAAAGAGTTCTTCGTCTTACCTATGTTTAAACTCTTTATTTCTTTATAGAAAGAAAACAGAAGGAAAAAAGAACAAACAGTTAGCTGAGGAATTGATGATAAAGCAAACATAACATTTTTTGTTTCTTATATAAAGGTCCCACCCACCAGAAGGCAGTCTTTTTCATTTTTTTTTTTACCTCTAACTGACAGCTCCTAGATCAATTACTTGAGAAGAACCCCCAATTTTGTTCTTCTCCAGGCCATTGGAAAATCCGGACCAGAATGCCTGGATTTCCTGACAGGCAATGTGGCTGTCATGTGACACAGGCAGCAACAGATGAAACAGGACTTCTGGCTAATGAAGGGATGGCAGGTAGGTTACAGCTGGGGTGACACCTATTGTTGCAGTAATGGTTCCTGCAAGTGTGGTGGTGCAAGGATTCTGACCCCAAGTTCAAGGTCAGCTGCAAAGAGCACTGTGATTCATTTGCAATGTCTTTCCTGGGTATGGAGGGAGCAGGTCACATCTGTACCACTCATTTGTCATTGGTGTATTACAGGGTCCATGGTACCTAAGAAAGGACCCCATTCACACCAGACTGCAGCTGAACCAAGGCTCTGTTGAATGTGAAAGGCAGAACCATTTCCTATCTCTGCTCTCTGCCTCCTTCCTCCCCGTATCCCACTTGCATGTGTGAAACCCCCAGTGTGCCTTCTTTCTCACAGTAACAACCAATACTGCCACTACGGTCATAATGAAATTCATAGGCTCCAACCTCCTCTTGTGATCGGAGCCAAAGATTTCATTTACCATTCATTTTTGAAGAACTAGGAAAAGTTTTGTTGCTTTTTCTTTAAAGAACAAAAACTACATTTCGATTTCAACAGGAAACTGGCTGAAAACTAACACCAGGGAGAGGAAGAGTCAGGAAAGCTGCTCCCCATTCCTGAGGCTTCCGGGTCAAGGTGGAGGAGCCCCTGACCCTTCGTTCCCTTCCAGTGAAGGGAAGAGGTTTCAGGGGAGGCACACGGAGAGTTCAATGCCCTGATTCCTGTTTAGGTGCAGCCCGGGCCTCTGCCGGGGGCCATCATTAGTGGTGGGTTTGCACAGGGATTACATTTTTATATTTTATTCTAACGTGTTAGTTTTTGCTAAAAAAAAAAGTTAATTAAATGATGCTGATAACTCCTGAGCTCTGACTGACATAGTGCAATTTAAGATTCATTCTGCAAAGCCTGGTGTGTCAGGGTGGCAGCCGGGAATTCTCGCGTCTATTTTATATTGCTTAATGAAAGTGAAATGTTATCTGCCACCAGTGGTAGACATATTTGGCTCTTAATTATTGAAATATCAATTCCACTTTTTTTTTAGTCAAGATTTTGTGAAAAGACTGGATGGGATTTGGGTTTGCAGACCTGACCTACTTCTTTCCCGAGAACATCTGCTTTAAGTTGATTAATATAGTATCTATGTTGGGGGAAGGACAAAGGAAGGGGTATGGGATCAAGTCCCTGGAGAGCGGAGAGTCCGAATGATCACATGGATATGAGCTTTGGGTACAGGATGAAGTCACTGCTACTCTGGTCCAGGGTCATTAACAGGTTGGGTGCTTAGCAGGCAACACACCAAAATTACAGCATCATTGAGTCAGCCTATGTAGATGAGTACAGATGCCCTACTTACAGGGGACAGGCCTTGGCTCTGTGTGCAGTCTCAAAAGCACAAATACACCCTTTAGATGTACCCTCCGAGGACAAAGTGGTGTCTCTGATTTAAGAATTGAGATGGATCATGTCTGCTCATGGCAGAGTCCCAATGACCCCTTTGCCAAGCCTGCGGGGGTCTCTCCTTGCCATCTCAGCCTGTCTCACAAAGCTGTCATCACAGTGTCCTGTGATTTATGTTTGTGTGCTTGTCTTCCTCACTTCTTTGTGAACAGGATGGGACTTACTCATTTCTGTGTTGCAGATACTTAGCAGAGAGTCCAGGAGAGAGTGAGGGGCTGGGGAAGTGGGTTCCTGAGCCCAGGAAGCTTGGATTGCAAATGCTTTAACCTTTAGTGCAGGACAAACCCTGCCTGGGACTAGCTCTGAGCCTTGGAGTTCTGCTCAGGACAGAGTTATAATTAGCTGAGACTTTTGTTGTTTGAGTAGGGTAGATATGGACAGGCCAAAGGCCTTTTTTTTTTTTTTGGTAGTGGTGGTGTTCTAATTCAAGGGAGTTTGAGTTGGGGTACTTTGGTTTAGCTTTAGAAGGATGCGATTTAGCATCTAGTTAAATTATTGCTAGTTGTTCTGGTCTAAGAATGGCTTTCAGGAATGCTTCTGCCCTACTGTGTTTATTCCTGCAGCCTCACCCATGTAGAATTCCAATACCACAAGGACATCAATGACACAATGGTCAGTGAGCATCAATGCAAGGAGTATTTCGATTATTCACTGCACAAGAAAACTTGAAATGCCCAGGAATGCTATAGAGAAAGCTTCATAGAATTTTCCCCAAAGTTTATAACTTTCACATTACCAATAATCAATGGCCAAGATGAAAGAAAGCTTCCTACTTCATTGATAATCTGGAACAAGTTTTGATCAGCCACACTGGGGGAAAGACTAGAATATCTTTTCATCCTTTCTGCAGATAATGTAATGAAAAAAAATAACTATCTTATTAAAAGACAATCAAGGAGTAGGGAGCTAAAAAGTGTAGGAAAACAAGTCCCATGAACATGTAATAGGTTAAAACAAAAATACGAAGTGGTTTGTCTGAATTTTGGGATGTGTGTGCTGATTGCTGTTTTCTAAAAAAAACTTGTCATTTGTTTCATTTTCTCATTCTAAATAACCTTGCTTCTTTTATTTTAAAAAATTTTCTATTCATAAGTTTTTTTTCTTTCTTAGAAGGAGACCCCAAAACTATATTGGCTTTAGGCACCAAGAAATCTGGGTTGTTGATGATGAGAATGGTGCCCAGTACTATCCAAAACTTTACAGCGTCCTGGTGGTTACATTATTCTGGACTGCGTGTTTTGTTATCTTTCCCTTCCTGACCCCTAACTTCTCAGCCCGACGGCAGAGCAAACTTGCATCTCTAACTGCAGCCCCCTCCTAACATTTGGTCCCACCGGGGGAAGCCTGCCCTGGTATCCAGCTTCTCTCTGGTGACTCTCATGGTCTTTGCCCTCCTTCCTGCACCCCACTTTCCCACATCTCCGTCCCCTCCAGCCTGACACATCTGGCTGGGACAACTCCCTTCTCTGTAGATTTTCCCTAAGGCAGAGAAGCCCTGGCCCCACCCTAACAGCACCATAAGAATGTCAGCAGGGAGAAGGTGTTTCACTGGAAAAAAGCCTATTGAATGTTATAATAGAAATTTATGTTTGAAAAATAAAAAGAATAATTCAAGAATTCCAAACATGAAAGAATAAGTGCGATTCACAACAAGGGGCCACATCAGAAAAAGGTACAGAGGCACTGTCCCATTTCTTGCCTATTTACCTATTTACTGCCTTTTATGGGGGTCCCAGTCCTAAGATGTTCTCAAACTGGGAGACAGACAAGAAGGATTCTTCTATGAGAGAAAGTCACCCGAAGTTGTGAGTGATTGGAAAATGTACCTTTCTCCTGAGTCCTTAGGTTTCCTAAGGACCAATTAGGGAGGGTGATAATTAGAAGAACGGAAAGGGACTGCTAAAGGTGGGATTTCAAGACTCTTTTGGGGAGAGGGTGTTGAAAATGTGCTAAATCAAAGCACATAGGTGGTAACCACTTTACCAAGAGAAGGCTCTTTCTACCACCAGAAGTTACCCAGTGTGTAGAGTTCTGCCCTCGCATGTTTTGTGCAGGTAAAGGAATAGGGGAGGGGTGAGGAGCGCGAGAGAGCATGGAGATGTTTAAACAGAATCCCAATCCTGAGGCTAAGCTCTGGGGTGGGTAAGGGGATGGGGTGGGCACTGAGTCCCCAAATTGAATCATTCAGCTGCCAACTCACAATGGAGACAAGACACAAGTAAGACAGGTCTCTTCCTCCCTCCCCCCCCTCCCTTTGCTGGTTTCTGTTTTGAAGCGAGGGGATTGACAGCCCTTTGTTTTCGGGTATGTAGTGGGAAGAGGAGAAGAATCAAACCAGTGTTCTTGTAAAAGCTCAACTTCTAATCGGCTCTGGGTTCCTGGCTGATGAAAGTAAGAACGAGTCCAAAGGCAGCGAAAGAAGGAAAAACCAAACCACACAGCTGTCCAGGGAAATTGAGAGCCACATTCCTTCCAGCTGTCCTCCCTGTCACCAGGTGAGTGTGGTGTGGTTTGCTCTGGTGGGGCCACTAGCTTGTCCCTTTGGTACTGTGGCCTCTACAGTTTGAGAGACGTGGAATCAAAGACCAATTCTGACAAGGAGCAGAAGACTGGTTCTTTAACTCATGCTTCCTGTCTTGAGCACCTAAGGTAGGCTGGGCATGGCATTGAGGGGCGAAGGTGACCAAGACATCTGCGCTATAGAAGGTCACACACCAGGCCTTAAGACTTAGACACAACTGCATACCTAGGTAGTAAGTGGTGTCAACTCTAATGCAAACTCAGAGCATTAAGAGACCCAGAGGAGGGTGAGAATTATTTCTATGAGGGCAATCAGGCTTGATGGAAGAGTGGCCCCTCAATGTGGACCTCATAGATGGATGTGAAGAGGTAGGTCAGTAGACACGACACTTGGGTTGAGCTAGGTCAGTAGACATGACACTGGGTTGAGCTGGTAGCAGAAGTCAAGGTTTGGAGGTAAGAATGCACCAGGCAGGTGGTGATTTGGCTTTGAGTGGGAAGACCTATGGCTGGACAGGAAGGGCAGATGTGGAGGGTAGCAATGCCAGATTAAATCATCCAACCCTTCCCTTCCTGCCTCCTTCACAGAAGGCCTAAAAAGAGGAGGGCTTATCTGGGCCAGAAAATGCAAAACAAATCTTGGGAAGGGGCTGTCCATGGCGAGGGGTGGACAAGTGTTTTGGGGGGTTGTCAGGGATGGCCTAGGGCTATGCAGCCTCCTCCACCATGCCTCCCTCTCACTCTGCTCATCTCATGGATGCTATCCCCTCTTCCTACACTTTGGTGTTTCTCCTATGGTGGCTCTTTGGCTCTCCAACTCAGCTTGGACTGCATGGACTTCCCCAGGTGTCCACCTCTCATGTTCTCTGAGCCCACGATTCCTCCCTTCTGGGCCCTCAGAGACCATCACAGGCCAATCCCATTCTCCTAGCTCCATCCCACTCCCTGCTTCGACCTCCAGTAGCCTCCCATTCCAACAAGAAAGCCCTTGTCCATGTGCTTAGGAAGTCCCCAAGATATCAGTGCCCTGGCTACCTCTCTGATTTCCTCTAAGGATGCTCCCCTGAGCTCACCATCACCCAGCCACACTGGACTTCTGTCAGCAGTCCCTTCAATATGCCAGGTTATTGGCTGGCAAAAGGGCTTCTGCACAACTTCTCTCTGCACAAAATGCTGTCCTCCAGATCTCCCTATGGCTGACCTTGTTATTTGGGGATCAGACTGAAGGCCACTTAGGATGAGAGGTTCCTTTGGCTACTATATCCCATTCAGCCTCCTAATTCCCCTGACCCCACCATGTCCTAGATCTTACACTAGTAGATTTCTCTTAAAGCATGTAGTAATACTTGAAATCATTATTTAAAATTTGTCTGCATTGATTTTTTTTCTGAGGCTCCTGAGTGGACTCCAAATGTAACAGCTGGGACTTTACTCTCCTCTGTGTTTTCCCCTATTCTCATGGCTCTTGGTGTACACAGACCCATTTCTCCCTCTATTTTACAGCTCTTCCTTGGGGTTGAGGGTCTGGAACCAACTATCCTGGGAAGAGCATATTTTCATGGGCTTTTGTGAGGGGTAGGGTGTCAGTATTTTCCCAGCACAGAGGAGTCTATACTTCAGGCTTTGTAGGAAGCAATGACCAGGAGGAAATCTACCAAGGGAAGAAAGTTACCTAGCAAGCCCTGATGAAATTGTGTTACCTCCTATCCTCACGAATGTGCAAACATCTGGAGAATTTATAGAGAACTCAAGGACTGAGGCACTCGATAGAAATTTATGAACTAGCAAATGAACATTAGTGGTTCTCAAGCTTCAGTGTGCATCAGAATCTTCTACAGAACTTCACAAAAATAAAAGACACCTTGGTCCTTTACCCTGTGAACTCTGGAGATGAAAAGCTATTATACCCTTGGTGGTAAATCAGCTGTTGACAGTAGTTATCAAATCTGTGTACGGTGTGTCTTAGATACACTAAGCATTTCCCCAAATCCTTAGTTCATCCTAGGCCTAGATTTTGGAGCACGTGGACTTTATATTCTATGGAGAACCCAAGTGCAGCCGCCATTCACCCAGAGACACTCAGGGGCAGTCGGGAGCACAAAAAGTTTGCCTGTGGGTTTATTTACCGTAACTCCAGGATGCTGGTCACGTTTCGAGAGGGAAAGATGCGCCGGATATAATTGAAGTCGCCAACATAGAGACTCCCATCAATCCCCACAGCCAGGGCCACGGGGGCCAGCAGTTTGTTGCCTTCTGCAAGGCCATTACAGCTGGGACAGGAAATGCTCCGCCGGCGGCCATTGCCCATGATGCTGGTGATGATGGCGGGCTGCTGGGTCAGGAACTGGTTCTCCCCAGTGCCTTTGTGTAGGATTCCTGGGGAGGGGAAGTAAAGTGGAGTGGTCACCACAGCTTTCTGGGGAGGACACTTGAATTGGCCTACCAAGGGTGAGGGGAAGTGACAGGAGAAGAGAAAAATTAGGAGACCTCTCCTTTGGTAGTTCTTCCATGTTCATGGGGATGAGAGAGTTTTCATGGGAGGAGAATCCCCCAATGCTATGGTACGGGGTAAGTGAATGTTCGTAGGGACAACTGAAGAAGTATGAGGTACAAACCATCCCAATGTTATTGACATTTAAAAGGAGAAAGTAAGGAAACCTATGACCTCTTTTTGGCACCTGAAAAATGGCGGAGGGAAGGAGAAGGGCTCTCCCTGAAATGTCAAGGTTGGTGAGAATGTTCCAGAAAAGACACAAGGCTATAGGTGGGATAGGAGATGTGCTCACATACCACTCTTTACGTTGAGGATGTGGTGCTTGTCCAGGGACCAGCCACCGAGATTGGAAGGGTCCAGCTCAAATCCCTGGAGGAGGGATGTCCTCTTCTCCCAGAGGATTAGACTGGGGCAGGTCTCATATTCGAAGCCCACAGACACTGCAGGACAAAGGGTGGACGGAGTGGGAGAAAAGAGAGTCCATTTGATTATTCCAGAGCTCCCCAGTAAAAAAAAAAAAAAAAAAAAAAAAGGAGCACATGTTCATGAGATACAGACTCTGTCCCCAAAACTCACTCCGAGGCAGGCTGATTGCTTTTGTCTTTGTGATTCCATTAAATTCAGATTTCGAGTTGAACTTGACCTTGAAACTTTACACAGTTGTACTCTGTGGGGAGGGAAAGACCTCTGCAATGAACAACTGGCTTTCAAAAATGACCCCAGTGATGTGGCTGGAAGAGAGGAATCTTTAAAACCCTGGTGCTGAATGAAGCTCCTTGGGAGACGGGTAGGAGACTGTCTCTCGGCTGATGTCTGGGGAATATACGTGTTATATCTATTGCTATTTATTTTTGCCCCCTAGGACAAAGGCCTTTGGAAGCATAGTGGGTCATCGATATGGAGACTCTAGGGGCAACAGCTTGTGTAAGCTGAGGCACTTTGTACAGCAGTGCCTCTTTTGTACCTGTGGGTTCTGTATGCGTGGATTCAATGAACCACGGGCCAAAAACAGTTTTTAAAAATTGTGTCTGTACTGAACATGTACAGAATTTTTTCTTATCATTATTCCCCAAACAATACAGTGTAATAATTATTTGCATGGCATGCATATCATATTAGGTACTATAAGTAATCTGGCAGTGATTTAACATAGATGGGAAGATGTGCAAAGCTTATATACAAACACTGTGCTGTTTTATTAAAGGGACTCGAGCATCCTCCCTCAGGTTTTGGGATCCCCTGGGGTATTGTGGACTGGGAATTGGTGGACCCCGAGGGATGACTGTATGTTCACTCAATATGCCAGAAAGTGTCACTAATAAGGGGTCCAGCCTGCTAGATATATGGAAGTTCACTGGGGAACACGATCCCAAAACTTGGCTATAAAACACTTGATTTGCTACACAGACAAATGGGAGAGGGAGGAGAGATGGACACTAATCTTAGTTGGGTTCTAGCCTTATGCCTTGAGGCTCCATTTTCCCCTTGAGTCCAGCAGGCTAAGTAAAGCCCCCGTTTCTTAAAGCTGTAGTAAGGATATACAAGAAAAGGGCTGAGAAACTATGCATTTTTAATTGGAACACTGCTCTTGAAATATAAGGCATTGTTATTATTGCTGTTCCTAGTACATTAGACTCTTAACTATGTGTATCACCTTTGGGGATTCTCTGCAGCTTTTAAAAAATCCTGAGATATAGAAGGGTCGATAAGAACGGAGGGTGCATTTTATTGAAGAAACACCTCCCTCCCATATTTCCTAGTTTGTCCTCTGAAAATGCGTCAAACAAGGACCCACACAGAAGCCAACAGGGTTGCTGGGGGCCAGCTGGTGGCCTTGGTATATTATTCCTCACTGGAGAGAAACGGGGCTCCCTGCAGAGTTGGCTGGAGAGAGGCTGAGCAAGAGAGAACAGACCATATAACCCTGGGAGACAGCGAGGGAGGAGTCAGACTCCACTAGGGTCACCTCAAAGGATTCTGGAGTCAGTGTGAAGAGGTTCCCAGTGACCAAAGTGGGACCTGCTGACCATGAGTCAGGATAGGGACTCTAACAAATAGAAACAGCAGCAACATTTCAGTCCAGGAGTTCACAAAGTTATTTAAAAAATGTTAATCACCCCCCATTGGAGGATGAACTGACTGAGTATATGGAAAACTAGTAAATAAAGGGAAGGAAGTATTTGCCCTTTCTTTCCTATTGGAACTCTACCTCAAATAATTAAGTAGTCAATGAGAAAGCATCCCTGTGTCAAAACATTTCTGATAATAGATGAAAAAGTAATGACAGAATTAAAACATCATTTTACAATCCCTAATGACCTAAAAGACTTAAGCCACGAGCATCTGTGGTTCCTGAAATCAGGAAGGACACATAGCCCCGTGCTCCTGGTGTTAAGAACACAGCGCCACCTGACAAGCTGTCCTACCAAAGATAAAATCAAACCCGAACCGGGAGAGCCTCAAGACTCAACGTCAATTTACAGGAGGTTTATAGGGGACAGAGGAACAGGTTAAACGGCCACAATCATGCAATCTGGAAACGGAAACACACTTCAGGAAATGGACTTTGGGAAGTCCTACAGGCAAACAACACAGGGTCTTTGGGAAATATAGAGGTGCAAAAAAGAGAAAGTTGGAAAATAAGATTTAAAATTTTAAACAATTAAAGAGAAACCAGCCAATTGCAAAAAGTGGGTCCTTTTGGATCTTGATTCAACAAATAAATCTTTAATGTTTTATGATATTTAGGAGACAACTGAAATATTGAATCATGGCAGGCTATTAGACGATATTAAGAAATTGTGACTTGTGGTGATAGCATTGTTATGGTTTCCACGTGCTTTCTCGAGATGCATTCTATAGTAATCCAGATGAGAGAACGTGATCTCTGGGATGTGCTTCAGAAACACCCAGGAGGTAAGGGGGAGACTGAAGGCATGGGAAAATAAGAATCATCACAGCATAAGGGCACAGCTGGAGCACACGGGGGTATATGGCCATAGTCAGTCTCCTTGTTGGTATTGGCTAAAGCCAGGTATGATTCATCTTTGATTAGCTAGTGGTGTTCTTTATATTAAATGTACTAGGTTCTCCCATAACTTCTACTGTCTCCCTTCAATTACCAATTCCATTCATTGGTGAAGCCTATTGCCGGGACCACAGCCTGAGCACGTGTGACCTGCTGGCTGCAGGACCTTAGAGAACTCTTACAGTCTCTCCTCTGCCTTGTGGGGATCTCGGTAATGTCCACTTGGGCTATTGAGAGGTCACCTAAGACAAAGGACTTAGCACACTGCCCTCTGCACAAAGGGAATGGCTGATAACACTGGCTGCCAATGAATTACAGGGAACATTTCTAAGTGTGCTAGTCTCTGGTTTTGGTTCTTGACTTCTGGTTCTTGAAAACCACACATCTATCGGTGAAAAGAAAGCAGGAGTCTGGATTTTAATCAATTCCTATATGGTTTTCCCCAAGTGGGAAGATTCCAGGTAGATATTCCACGATGTACATCTCCGGTAACCACAGGACCCTTTTCTTAGGGTGAATTTTCCTAAGTGGAGAGCATGTGATTCCCTCAAAAAACAAAGCCTTGGAACACAGTACCAGGCTTTCAGACCTGCAGTCCTGAGGCCTTAACCCACCACGTATCCTGTGCCATTTGCAAGCGCTCTCTCAGGAACGTGCCTTAGTCCTCGTCTGCTTCTGTCCCTTCACTTCCAATATCCCTCGGGTCCACTGCACGCCAACCTCACTGGCTTTCTCTGTCTTCTAACACACCCCGCTCTTCTCTCTGCCTCCAATGCTCTCTTTCTGATTTTCACAAGGCTCCTTCTTGTCATTCAAGCCTGTGTTTCAATGTCACCTTGCTGAGAAGCCTTCCCTGAATGCCCATCCAGGGAGGTGTCCTCTCCCCAGCATGGGCCATTTTTGTCTTCTTATTAACCCTCTTGGTACTGCCTCATCCGATCTGAGTTTCATACCTCAACCCCCCACTAGAGCACAAGGCCCATGGAAGAGGCACCTGCTCTGTCTTATTGACCTTATCTACTAGAACAGTGCTTGGCATCCACTAGAACTTCAATAAATAGTGACAGAATGAACACATCAAAATCCGTGAATGAGTACGTGGTTGAAATGAAAACTTACCCACAGCATCTGAGAGTCCATATACTCTTTGCCCATAAGCATCTGTCTTATCCCAGATGAAGGTGTAGGCCAGGTTGGGAGATGCCTGGAAGGACTTCTGGAAGAGATGCCCCTCTACAGCAACCATCAGGTGAACCCTGATGAGGTTTAAGGGCACTGTGGACTGGGTCATGGTGATCTTCAGCAGTGACTTGTACCCTGCGGTTCTGGAGCTCAGATAACGAAGCTTCACATTGGAGCCAGGAAGCTCAATTTCTTCATGAAGAACCTGGAGGGAAAGCAATTGGTTTCTGGACTCTCTCAAACACACCTCTGGAGGTAGACTGTCTGCAACCTGACGCTGCCTCCCAAAGTCCCACACCGAAAGTGGGTGCATGAAACCACTTCCCCCAGCAGAGAAAGAAGAAAAGAAAACCGACCGAAACTTCATCCTACGCCATGGGGAGAAGGGGCTGAGGTTATGATTTTGGGATTAATAATTATTCTTGGTCACTGTTGCGTTTCTTTTAAAAAACCACACTGTTGGCAAAAGACGTAAATAAGAACAGCAGGCTTTATTGCTAGCTGCATGCGAGGAGGCCACGAGAGGCTGTAATTATATGAACCTGCGACTTCCAGTGACAATAGTGTAAAGCAACAGGGAGGCAATGATGTGCCCTGTGTCGTAACACTGATGTAGATCATTAAAGCGCCTCTTACCATGGATCTCTCTAACAGGAATAAAAGCAATTTGCAGGTGGTCTACACATATGTATATTGTTTTTATTTTATGAAAAGCTCCAGTGACCGCCAAAGCCTTGAATGACTATCTGCAAACACTGGAACATCCGGGAGGGCTTCAAATTTCTGTTTGTGGTGCTCTATGTCTTACTGTGCTCCCTCTCCTTTAGTATTAGTTTCGGGCCCCTCAGGAAGACAGGTGTGATGGGAGGAAGGCGGCTGGTTGGCATTGGTTAGGAAGTACCCAGCGTCCCACCCTGGTGCCCGCAGCTCCTACCTGGGTCTCAGGCACGATGGGATTCTGCCCAGGGGCAGCACTGAAGAAGGTGGACAGAGGGGAGGAGATGATGATTGGATCGGGCCGGACAAAGCCACTGAGGTCACAGCTGGGGATGGAGTTCTCCTCCGTCTTCATCACCAGGGTGTCCATGGCATGAAAGCTATTCCACGGCAGCCACACGGTGCGCTCCTGGCTCATGAAGGGGGCTCGCTCAAAGTGCAGGGTCAGGGCGGCACCCCCGTTGGCGATTAGGTCAAACCTGGAGACAGGTAAATGGGTTCTCTGAGAGATGCTATGGGTAAGTTAATAATCCTCTCTGAGCCCAAGTTTCTTCATCTGTACAATGGGAATAATGATACTGACACGTGGTGTCTCAAAGAATGTAACATTGGGCTGGGGCTGTAGCTCAGTGGTAGAGTGCTTGCCTCACACGTGTGAGGCACTGAGTTTGATCCTCAGCACCACATGAAAATAAATAAATAAACAAACAAACAAATAAATATTGTGTCCATTTACAACTAAAAAATATTTTAAAAAAAGAATAAAATATGAAGACCCCAGAGTAGGCATGAGCCAACTATGTCCCATGGGGTGAGCCTAGCTCACCACCTGTTTTGGCAAATAAAGTTTTATTGGCACACAGCTATATTCATTTGCTTATGTAACCTCTATGGCTGTTTTCCTGCCATAGTGACAGCGCTGAGTTGTGGCAGCAGAAGCCACATGGCCAGCAAAGCCTAAACTATTTACTCCCTGGCCCTTTGCAGAATGTGTTTGCTGACCTCTGGTGTAAAGCACTTAGCACAGCGCGAGGCTGAGAGAAGTGTTCAGCAGACAGTGTGGTGACAGTGACGTGATGCTCGGACATTGGCAGGGGCTCACAGCACCATGCTTATAGCCAAACTCCATTCTGCTTCTGTCTCTGGCAATGATTCTTTCACTGTATTCCTGCTTGCTCCTGATGATCTGGGTGGAGGTGACCCACCAAGAAGGTGAAAATACAAAAGCTCTGCTTTTCCCATTTCATAGAAAGGTAGGAGGTCAACAGAGAGTACCCCGCCTCCAACTCCCGGCTGTACTCCTCTGGAATCTCAGCTCTTTGCAGAAAGCAGCTTTTCCATCCTGCTTCTATCAGAATCCCTACCGCTTGGATCAGAGTGAAAATACACTGATAGCTGGCTTCATCCAATTCTGGTAACATAATTGCTGTTTTCTAACAGATGTAAAATAAATGACCGAGGACCACATAGATATGAAGGTCAATATCACAGTACATTTAGTATGACAGTTTACATATGAATTTGTTTATATATTTGTTTCCTGGGTATGCATGCTGTTGGGGAAGGATTTGCCTAAGCTGTACAAGAGACTCAAATGCCTCAAAGCAACATGGTTCCTAACTGGCAAGAAAGAGTCAATGGAAGAGTGTGGCCCATGCTATATTCATAACAGATTGTGGGATTCCTTGGAGCATTCCCAAACACGGCCTGGGACTTGCACGGCTTTTCAACCTGAGCAAACTGAAGAGGCACCGATCCAGGAGTTTGAATAGATGATCTTGGAGGTGGATTTGGACCCTAATTAGTCAGGGAGCATCTGAGAGGGACAGGGGAGTGGAAGGGACAGACAGCAGAGGGAGGACTCAGAAGTGTCTTGTGCTGTTTCACAGGACTTTACAGAAATAGCCTCAAGGCTGTTAGTTCTTCACGAGCACTGACTTCCAAGAATGAACAAGGCCCCAAAGATCTTTGTGCAGTATCTGTTAACCATTCCAGTGCTTTTGAATAATTGGATTTGGCCATAGAAACCTCTGAGTAGAGCTACCAGACAGTTAATGACTGCAGCTGGTCCTCCACTTATGTTGGTTTTACTTATGATTTCTCAGCTTTTCAAGGTTATGAAAGTGATCTGCAGTCAGTAGAAACTCTAAGCACATCTGATCTCTTCCTGAGTTACCAACGAGAGGTCCACACTTGCAGTGGCAGGGAGCCATAGTTCCCAGTCCATCACCAGGGCAAACAACCTGCTGCGCACTGTGTCGCTAAGCAGGGATGTTTGGTAGGTCAGGTAGAGTTCATGCATTTTTTTTTTTAATGTCACTTTCTTTATGTTTTGATATCTGAACTAAACTTATTTTTTTAAAAAAATATATATATATTTGGTTGTTGATGGACCTTTATTTTATTTATTTATATGTGGTGCTGAGAATTGAACCCAGGGTCTCACGCATGCTAGGCAAGTGCTCTACCGCTGAGCCACAGCCCCAGCCCTGCATTTTTGACTTATGATATTTCAACTTACGATGTGCTTGGGATGTAAGGCACTGTAAGCTGAACATTGGTACTGAGGATTGGATGTGAACCCTTAGACCCCTCCTTTGGGTCTCAGTGTTGGAATGTTAAGGTGGATCTACTGTAGGCTGGTGGTTTAAAAAACTGCCTGCAAGGCTTAGGACAGTAGGGAATAACTAGACTCCTCGCCAGAGAAAGCCAAGCTCTTCTTACCTCCCACACCATGCCCAGGATTTCCCAGAGTCTGGTTTTATAGAAAAAGTGCTGCATCAGGTTTACAGTGATGGACGCTTGCTTCCTTTGCAATGGCTAGGACAGCTGTGTGTGTGTGTAAGAGTTTCCAGTGCAGAGTCAGTGTTTTCCCCTTCCTACAGACTTCTTATTTTCTTATCGTGTGTTTAACTTTTGACTCGGTGCCCGGTAGGTTCAGGCAGAGGCAGAGCTTTCTTCTTGGTGGGGGTGAATGGGCGCACGTTCCCAATCAGAAGATCACTGGGGACTGTTGCCTCCTTCACACAGCAGGGAGACTGCTAAATGTACTTAATTAGACTTCTCTGATTACAGCCCACCCCCTCAAGACTGTAGCGAAAACATCACAGCTCCTAGAGCCACAGATGAAAGCAGAAGGGGATCACCACAGGACACTGTGTCATGTGGATTCTTGTCACCCTGCACTGCCTTTGATTTAAAATCGGAGTTAGTTTCTAAGAAACCACCTTCTTTCTAGAATCTGCCCCCACCCCCAGCACACACAGAACAGCATTTGTTTTCTGGTTGGGATAGCACACAGGAAAGCATGGAGTGACTTTGGGGAATCCTCTCTGAAGGTCTGGTCTGGTGGCCACCTCACACAGGGAGTCACATAAACCCAAGCTGACTGCACCGTGGCTTTCCGCCTCCGCACTCAGCCCCGGACAGGTCCCAGCCCACAGTGCTACTTACGTGCCATCCTGGCGGGTGATGGTGTAGCCATACTTTGGGTACTTAACAAAAGACACATTCACACCGACCAGGGGAGTCCCATCTGTAGTTACTACTTGGCCTCGGATGAGAGATACCAAGCTGGGAGAGAAAGAAACAGAGGTCTTTGAGCCACATGCAGGAGAAACAGATCAAGGGGTGCTGAGTTCTCTTTCCTTATTGCTACTACTCCCTCATCTGCATCTGGTCCCCAGGCAAGGAGAAGACCTTCAACATGAATTTCTAGCTCCACATGACCATGTCTGCACAGAGGGATGGGCAGAGGGGAAATCTCAATGTTTTGCTTTTCCTAAGAACAAAAATTCTGACATTCGAGGTGAAATCCCTTGGGTAGCCTGGCCCGCCCCGGGGCTGGACAGTGGTCTCCCGTGTGCTTTCCCTCCAGCCTTGGCTGGGTTCCACTGCTTGATGCAGTCTGGCTTCTGCTTGGCCCGGGCTCCAGGCTGCCCTCATCCCTCACGTGCATGCCTTTGCCTGGCACACGGAGCATTATGCTCGGGTGAGAGCTTCCCCATCTGGCTGCTCATTTCCTAATTTGGTGCTGGAGCAAGGCCATGCCACGATCCTCCTCCGGGCTGGGAGTTGGGGGCGCAGGGCAGCGCACATAGGTTTTATTATGAGGCTGGGATGTACACATACATAGTTTTTTGCTGCCCTCCAAGAGCAAAATTTCTCCCAATCTATAAAAGCCTGAGGAAAAGAGAACATTGGAGATACATTTCTTTCTGGTGAAAATAGCTTGGATTCTGGATTGCATGTAGCTACATATTTTTCTCATGTCAAGTTCCAACTGTCCTGGGGGGGTGGGTGGTTGAAATCTGACACACGCATTTTTTTTTTTTCCTGATGTTAGGGAAAGTTCTTTCTCTCCAGACCACAGTAACTAGAATTTTCCCAACAATGCCAATTTCCAACCAACTACCTCTGGGAAACCCTGCACCCAGCCATAGAGATGCTACAATACAGGTTGAACATTCCTTATCTGAAATGCTTGGGCCCAGAGATGTTTCAGGCTTTGGAATTTTTCGGATTTTGGAATATTTGCATGTACATAATGAGATATCTTGGGGATGGGACCCAAGTCTCAACACAAAATTTATTTATGCTTTCATATACATCTTATATACATAGCCTGAAGATGATTTAATACAATACTTTTAATAACTTGTGCATGAAATAAAGTTTCATGGTATGGAATTTCCCACTTAGGGGTGCCACGCTGGTGCTTAATGTATTTGGGATTTTGGAGCATTTCACATTTTGAACTCTGGGGTTAGGGGTGCTCACCCTGTATTCTACCCAGAGCCATGTCTCCTGTCACCTGAATCCTCTAGACTTCATGGAGAAATGAGACAATGAGAAGCTCCACATCTTGGCCTTGAAGATACAGGGCAATTTGGCGAAAGCGAAGAGGTTCTCAGGCTCCCAGGTTCCTGGACACACTCCCAATTTCTAGAGTAGGCAATCAAGCTGACCCATTCTTTGCCAGAATCTTGTCAAGATTTTTGGAATGCATTTACTTTTGCAATCCCAAGTGTCCTGCAAACTGGAGGGAGGCTGTCTCCAAGCATCTCTCTTTCTATTAGTAATACCCCCCACTGTTCAACTCCAACCCTTTGACGATCTCAGGGGTGTTTAGACTATTCCACTGACAGCTCTAATTGTCTGCTACTGGCTGCCTAACAAATGAATCTCATTTTTAGCTAGTTCCAACCACAATGCTAGAGTCTTTTGAAAGTAGAAAACTAATTTATGAAAATAATCCTTTTGTTCAATTCCATTTTCTTATCTTAGCTCAGACTTAGATTTCTTTAAGGCCTTACCAGACACTATTTTAAAATCGATGATGTGTGTTGATGACCACAAGGTACACAGTGGTTGTGATAAGAAAACAAAATCGGAAGTACATTCCACAGTGGGTTTCTTCCCCCCTTCCTTTTTTTTTTTTTTTTTAAAAATTTCTTTTTACAACTGCTATTTTTTAAAAATCAGTCCTGTAGCACAAGACTGTGAAGAGCACCATAGGAATAAAAGGGGCTGGGCTGCCCGAGATTTCTACCCTTCTATTTTTCTAATTCTTCATTGTTGCTGGCTTTCTATCGTTTCCAGGCAGCCAATTTGCAGAAAAGATTCAGCTAAGACATGCTATCAGTTCATTTCTATTTATGATTATTGATGTGTAACAATTATCACATTATCTAGATAGTGAGATCCGCTCTATAAATTATAGTGGTGGAGTCAAGGCATTTTAGTTATTTTTGTATGCCATTATCTAGGGAACGCCTTTGAGAAGTCTTGAATTAAGTTCCTTTTTACTCCTGGCTTTGTCCTTCATTATTTGTCAGGCAATGATGTACTGAAATCCACATGCTTACTGAACTTCGACCTGCGCCTTGGAGTACAGTTTGGTATTGCGTGGATCTGTGCAGACAAGCTGGAGTGGATCATCAGAGCTCCAGAGAGTTCTCTATGGCAACTTCCTTTTGCTCACATCTCTGGGCTGGGATAATCCCCCGAAGATTTTTGGGGTCCCTGCCTGCCCCCCTGTATATTGGCCCTCACTTGAGATGCTTTCTGGCAATGGTAACTGTTGCTGGGGAGGAGAGGAGGAAGTTAGAAGGGATAGGTGGAGGAAGAGGATGGAAAGGAGACTGTTAGGATTTAGGGTAGAAATAATGAAATGTAAATTAGGGAGCAGAGGGAAGTTGACCCGGGGTCTTTGGAGGATGTGTTCATGGGACAAAACAACTGTATGCCAACTCAACCTAAAGGCTGTGGCCTAGTGCAAGATCCACCCAGGAGTCTTTGGCAAGATGAGTTACATTCATAATTAAAAGGAAACAGACTACAGAAACCTTCCCAGATTTAGGGAGCAGAGGGAACACTTCCTTTTTGGTCAGAGAGTTGTGGTTTGTTTATTTATTCATTCATTCATTTATTTATTCATTGTTTATTTATTCTTCTATTAAAACAGCAACATACCGTGAGTAGAATATGATACTATTCTAATGGCACTCATCTAGAAAATGAGGTTTATGAGCCCAATGTGACACAGTTAGGAAGTGTCAGGGTGGAAATAGAAGAGGGTGGAGATCACGGTTTCTCTCGCATTATTATTTATTTTTCTACTTTATGTTTGGTAACATCAGAACAGAGAAGCCAAAGTTGTTGACTTAAGGTGATTTTGTTAAGCAGTCCATTCAAAATGGCTGCCAATAACTGGGACAGCCCAACTTTCCAGAGGATTCTAGGAGGCTGCGGAATGGGCTGCACCAACTCCTACCCTTTCCTGTGCCATCGAAGCTAGACTCTCAGGGAGGGGTGGGGACAATCATGGCCCCATGGTGTCTCCTCCCCATGGTGTTTCCTCCCATGGGGACAGCCATGGCTCCATGGTGTCCAAAATGGGAGTAACAAGAGAATCACCAATTAAGCTCCTGAGAATAAACAGCAAGCTCAGGAGCCTTCCTGAGGATGTAGGCTGGGCGAGGAGGAGGAGGAAGGGGAAGAGGAGGGCAGTACATTTCAGAGGGATATCCTCTGGTGTCCTGTTGCATAGGAGGGGCACAAGAGTGGGCAGTAGAAAGGTGTTTTATATTGCAAAATAACCCAAAGAGAGGGTTTTAAATGTTCCTACCATAAATAAATGACAAATGTTTAAGGTGATGAATATTCTAATCTGTCAGATTTGATCATTTCACAATGTACGGATGAGTCAGAATGCTACATTATAACCCAAGAATATGTACCAAATATGTCCCATTAGTATATGTCAACCAAAAAAAAAATTCAAAATTTAGAAAAAGAAATAGAGAAGAAAGGTGGAGGGTGGGGCGTGGGAGAGAATGGTGCATGATGGAGCTGTCAGAAGGACAAGGGGTCAGGACCATTTTGCTCAAGTTCCTAGATGCTAGAGGTTTTGTGGGCGAGGACCCCAGCAGTTTTGATTTTTCCTCATGAAGGGGCACAGAGATGGAGTGGGGTAACACCCAGAAGACCTTGCCGCATGTCTTACACCACCAGATGGGGATCTGGGCCCATGGAGACGGAGATCAATCGTGCCCAGCCAGGCCCCTCCCATCCCTTCCTTCTACCCTCAGACGTACAAATGGTACCTAGAAGGTAGGAGGGGATGGATGGTTGGGAGGGGCCCCGCGGTGAAATCTTCCCTTTACTCTCGGGGCACAGTTCCAACTTGTCCTGGCCTGAAGGGAAGGGCCAAGGTGGCCACAAAATAAATTCAGAATTTGACCCTAGAATATTCATAAACCTCAAATCAGCAACCCAGAGCAAAGACAGACTGGGGAGAATGAGTGGCCCCTGCACATAATGGGCCACGAGGAGACGCCAGGGGTGAAGCTGCCGTGAGCATCGAAGTCATCGGCACATCTCTGGCTCGTCCTAGGTGCTCAATACATTCTCCCCACTGGCATCATCTTGAATCCAAGATGCCAGGATGATAGGTTATGTTATCAACTTAATAACAGCTGTCAAAAAGCCTCTACCGAATGAACTATTTAAGCAATGCTCAAACAAAAGTCACTCTCAGAGGCATTGTAAAGGGAGATTTAAAAGAATGACAAGAGTGTCATAAAATAATAGATCATAACAAAACAGGGGAATCCACAGGTATCTCCAGCAATTCTGGATCGAAGGTGGCCAAGTCCTACAGCATGCACGGGGCTCTGCTGGAGCCTCACCTGGAGTGAGGGAAGGGCTTTCTAGGAGCCTGGCAGGGAGCAGCCTCAATTGGGCCATTTCCAGGCCAACGGGGCCCACGGAAAGGGAGGAGCACTTCCTCCTGCCCCAGTGGGGGGGGAGCTGGTGACCGCAGCAGCCTGTGGGGACACAGGGTGCTTACCTGCTGTTGAAGGGGTTGTCTCCAGGAATGATGTGGGTGCTGTCCTTGCCTGCCAGGAGCTTGATGCGATCGTAGAAGGACTTCACAGCTGGCCACTCCGTCTGGCCCTGCTGAATGATGTCCATGGGGTCCCGGGAGCCCCGGCAGAGAGGGCTGTTCTGACAGGCCGTCTGCAGGCAGCAGTCGGGGTCCAGGCAGTCCACCAGGCCATCTGGAGGGGCAGAGGCAGAGCCAGGGTCAGTGGATTTCATGGCACTCAGCCGCTTGGAGATGCTAACACTTCCCCGGGGCCTTGAATTGGCAGGTTCCACACAGCAAACCTCGTATAATTCCAACCTATGTGCATCGAAAATAAAGGACTGAAAGGACGTGACTGAAAATGTTGACAATCGTTGTCCCTAGTAGCAGATAAGTGGGTTTCCATTGGCTTTCTTGATTACATGTCTCTGGAATGTGCTTCCTTCTTCTACTATGAGCCAGGGTTATTGGAGCGGTTGGAAATAAAAATAAAAACGTTGCTTTTAAATAACATTGCACAAATAACGACCGATGGCCAGTTCTCAGGGACCCGTGCTAACGGGAGCACAAGCAGTCGAAACGTGTGGGGCACCTAAGTCTCACTTCCATGGAGAAAAGAATTCCATTCCTGCTCCCCTAAGCCAGCGAGGGAACTGCTGAACAGCTGGAAAACCAGGCGCTGTGTGTTGGGTTTTCCAGATCCTGTGTAGAAATGGCCTTGACACGGGAACCTGAAAGTTGAGCCACCAGTCCACCTGCTGCTTCTGGTTCTGCCCTCTTACCTGTCGGCAGGACCTCCAGCATTTGGATTTACTTGCCTGGATTCCTGCCCCTCACATCCCCATTCCTGGGATGATTCCTACTTATCCATCTACAATTCATAAACACACATTTACATGCATCTACTTGTTGGATGAGCCAAAAATCATGGCACCTGTCCTTAAAAAGAGGACAGGATGGTGGCAGAAGCAGACAGACGGGCTCATAGCTTGAGACCTGGTTTAGATGTGGCCTCCCCATCCAGGAAGCCTTCCTGATAATGCCCTTGGCTGGGTTTGTAATGGACTGAATGTGTGTGCCCCCCAGATCCGAATGTTGAAACTCTAACCCCCAATATATGGTACTAGAAAGTGGGGCTGTTGGGAGGGAAATCAGCACTGGAAGTGGAACCTGAAAGGGGTTAGTGACCTCGTAAATGAGACTTCTGAGAGTCCTCTGGCTTTCTTTCTGCCCCTGTCACAGGGAGGAAATGGCCATCTACTAATTATGAAGCAGATCCTCCCCAGACACCAAATCCACCAGCACCTTGATCTTGGGCTGCTCATCTTCCAGAACTGCAAGAAATATGTGTTTGTTGTTTAAGTCACTCGACGTCCGGAGGTTTTGTTACAGCAGCCGCAGTGGATGGACACAGCTGCTCCTGCAGTGTGCATCCCTGACCAGAGATTTTTAATGAATGGCTCTGCGTTGAAATCCTATGGGGAAAATCAAGGACACACTCCAGACCCTCCAGAGACAGCACTGGGGGCAGGGTCCGGAAGGCGCATTTTAATCACAATTTTCAGGTGATTCTAATGCACACAAAAAAAATCTAGAAATGGTTGTTGTTAACACCAACTTCCTTGTGCTGGAATTAATTATCTCTTTATGCTTGCCTCCCTGAGTGGAAAATGAGCTCTGTGAGGAGAACAGTGTCTTATTAATTTCTACATTCATGTTTTGCTTAATGCCAAACACTAATGTTTGTTGAATGAATAAATGACTGTTTCCCATTCCTCACATCTGTTAGAGCTAAGGACAGGAAGGTTCTGGGCAGTGTCCACTCCTTGGGATTTCCTGTTAGAATGGATCTGTTGGCCAATCCTTATTCACTCTGCTGGGAATTGATTGAGAATAAACTTGCTTACACCTCCTGGATTTGATAGCAAGGCATTTTTCTGGCCCTAACCAGCATCACAGAAACAGGTTCTCACACCCAAGGCTGTGCTATGACCGACTCCTGTACTAGGATGCCCAATCAGAGGCCTGGTTGTATGCTTTAAATTTACTACAATGTAAATTTTTTGGCATTAAGTTTTACGTTTGGTTCTGCTAATGGAATTGAAATATATAATTTCACCAAAGTTCCACTGTCTTTTAGCAATTAATGTACAATTATTTTAATGCATTACTTCCTTTTTAGCAAACAAACAAATTAGGAAGTTGCATGTTTTGCTTGGCTTTCAATGACTAAGCCTAGCCTCTCATTTTCCACACGGGCAAATGCCGCTCCGTGCCTTGTAACACATTTAGATTTACAAAAAAATTCCTAGAAATTCAGGCACAGGGGAGTGAGCAGGCACGCACACTTTAAATTTAGGAACTTTCCAAATCAAGGCTCCAAATGTTTCAGCCGACTGAATCAGCTACTCCCCAGAGAGCGGAAGACTCAGACCCCAGAAAGACCCAGAAACCATGCTGTATCCAGTAGGAGGATTGAAGTCCCACATCAGGTCCATATCCCATTGTCCAATCTGGACTCAGGGGCCATTGGCAGAATAAGAAAAAAAAAAAAAAAGAAAGGAAAAATATAATTGCACAGAATTCTGCCTTGACCATCACCTCCGGCACACTGCTTTCTCTAGACAGAAATAGTCCACCACGGAATGCTTGCTTCGGATTTTAAAAATAACCGACTGAGCTACATTGGCAGTGTTTCATTCTGCAGCCTCAGAAACTTCCCAGGTGAGAAGGAACCCTCTGTTGTTAGCATTATAGATTCTTTTAAGGTCGCCGGCCTCTTCCCATTAGGACTTCCATCCATCTCAGTGGCCTTTCCCTCCCCTCTGGTCCATACACCACCCACTCCCTATTACCAGCTTGAGGGCCTCTTGCACTCAGTGCCTTGAGAGAGTTTGTCCACTAAGTTCTGTGCACTTTCCTCCCCACCTGCTCCTGCCTGCCATCTCCCTGGGCTGCAAACTGCCTCCAAACTCCAAATCTCCAATTTCCCCACTGTTTTGTTGATTCTGGGTTTTCTATTCAAGAGCCTGTCTGTCTGGCAGGAGATGGCCTAAACATGTCAGCAACTGCAGATGACAAATAGGAAAAAAGAAGAAAAAAGGTCTCAGTGATTTCCTCCTGCATATTTACAGGTACCTGCTCCAGAGATGGCACATCTGGGGTTCTCTCCGTGAGTATGTGCGAGCATACCTTATGCCTACGATGACCTCATCATGCTGCGTGATTATGGGCTGCCGAGGCCGAACACTTTCCGACGGCACTGTGAACTTTAAATTGGCACTCCAATCTCCCAGTGGCCTGTCAGTCATGAGAAGCGCATCTCCATGCCAGCCAGCCCCTTGGATGCAGTCTGACATTGCAATCTTCAGTAAATTACCCTGTCACTGACAATCTCGCAGTTATCTCGCAAACAATCAAGCAGCAATCAAACTGTTCTGAATCACCAGTTCAGGACCTAAGAGGCCTCCGATGTCTCCATTCAACAGCGGCGGGAAGCCGCCTGGCCCTCCTATGGCATTGGGCGATTTCTTTATTTATATTTCTCCCTCCCTATTTGTTTGTCTGGCTGCCTTTCCTGTGGGGAGGGTGGTGGGAGAGGTGTGCAGGGGCCGTGGGACCCGAGTCTGACTCGGCAGTTGTGGGGAAGCGCACTTGGGGCTGCCCTGTGGGGTACACTGTGGTGGCACACATCGGTGTCATCTTCCTTCACTCTGAAACGTGGTCAAGGAGAATTGTCTAGGTGCCTCTGTCAAAGCCCATGCTAAGTCACAGCCCTTGCTGAAGTCTACACGTATAGATCATATACTAATGGCAATGGCAATTTCAGGGAAGGGTGACATGGGAGACGCTTTCTGGGAACAATATGAGGCATTCTTTTCATTACTGTTGATAAAGAAAATCAGAGAATCTCCTCTAACCGTCTGGCAATGTGAAGCAGAAATCAGGGTTAATTATTGCTGAATTGAATCCTTTGGATTATAAGTCCCAGTGTAAAAAGCCAAAAATTCTACAAAGAAGATACATGCAGAGGTAAGAACTTGGTCTCTAGAACCAGATGGATATGAGGTTGAAGTTCACCTTCCCTAGTCCCTAGCTGTGTGAGCGAGGGAAGTTAAACAACCTTGCTGAGCCCCAGTTTCTTGCCTTTAAAGCCGAGTTTATCAGCTGGGCATGGTGGTGCATGGTGGAATTCCAGTGGCTTGGGAGGCTGAGGCAGGAGGATTGTAAGTTCAAAGCCAGGCTCAACAACCTAGGGTGACCCTAAGCAACTTAGCAAGATCCTGTCTCAAAATAAAAAAAATAAAAAAGGGTTGGGGATATGGTTAAGTGCCCCTAGGTTCAATCCCTGGTATATATATAAAACCCACAAAAAAAAAAAACAAAACAAAAAACGATTGAGTTATCACAGTACCTGTACATAGGGTTATGTGATAGGGAATAAATGATTACACACATACACACACACATCATCTGTCTGGCAAATAGTATGTGTTTAATAAACCATAGGTATTACTATAATCATTACTATAAAAACTCACTGAAGGTTTTTAACTCTTAGTTTATAAAATCTGGACATTAAAATAGATAAAATGAAGAGCTGGAGTTGTGGCTCAGTGGTAGAGCACTTGCCTGGCATGTGTGAGGCTCTGGGTTCAATTCCTCAGCACCGGATATAAATAAATAAATAAATAAATAAAAGATCCATTTACAACTAAAAATATTAAAAATATAGACAAAATTAATATGCCCTTATATTTTGAGTCAATCACTAGTATGGGCTCTGGGCTGGATGAATCTTGGCAAGCATGCCAGACTGTGTTTCCAAACAGTGACAGGTTGGTAACAATTAATAGTGATAATAGATGCAATAGATAGAGGGGCATTGTCCCATGTTCTTGATTTAAACCTTCTTGGCAACTTTGCAAAGCAGAATAATGTCATTCAAGAATTTCATACTCTGGATTCTAGATTTTAATCTGACGATTGGCTTCTACCTAGCTGGTATCTGGGGAATTAACTGCTCCATGCCTCAGTTTCCCTCATATGTAAAATGGAGACGATGGTGATGACGTTTGAGAAGTGATTAATTCTTGGTCCTCTGTATCTGCGGTTTCCTTATCAACTAACCTTGGAGGCCTCTGACGGTTCTGTGTTGAGGAAGTACAGATGATCTTCCTTGTAATCGTTCCT